TTTTTTTTTTTTTTTTTGGTACCAGGGATCGTACTTGGGTCCTTGTGCTTGCGAAGCCGGTGGCAGAACCACTAAGCTAAATCTCCGGCCCTGTATCATTATGTTTTGATTAATAAGTGGATTGTCTTTCTTGTAATCATTTAAATGCAGGATCATATGATCTTTCTAGACCAGGATTTAAAATATCAAGTAAGTGGAATGCCTTGTTTTCAAAAAGCAAAATTTAATCTTTTAGCCAAATTTGATGATTTAAAATTAATAAATTAAAGAGGCATTTATTTAAAGGCTCATGTGATTGCCTTAAAATTTGGGGGAAATGCTGCTGCTAGTAGGCATATCTCCATGGATATTTTATGCCAGAAAGTACTGAGGGTGTTCATCATGTATAGATACAGTGCTTAGCAAACAGTTGAAAGACTGGGTTCTATCCCCAGTTACATATTTGCTTGAGTAAATTGCCCGTTCAGTCTGGTTATCTTTCAAGAGATTATAATATCTGCCTTCCCGCATCATTAAGGATCATTCCAGATAATTTGTGGGAAAGTGTTAATTTGTAAAGTCTGAATTAATCACACTTCTAAATTTATAAAATAGCAATAAGCTTTCAGCTTTCCACAACATGCTCGTTTATTAAGAAAAATAGCTGGGGATTTAGCTCAGTGCCACTGAGCCTGCCTCAAAAGCACAAGGTCCTGAGTTCAATCCCTGGTACCAAAAAAGAAATAATGAACCATAAATATAGTTATATTTTGTATGTTTTAAAGTTTCGGAGGGATTACAGTTTAGTTTTGAAATTACAGTAAAATTTCCCATAGATTTAGAAGTCTCATTTAAAGAATTTTGAGCTTAAACTAATATTTAAAACATTTTCCTTCATAAATAGCTATTTGAACAATAGTAAAAGAAAGCCTCAATAGCTGTTGAACGATAAAGTATTTCTTTACATAGTGTTAACATAAACACTTTTGTGTTTTAGAGATGCTCTTAGTGATCTTGCGTTACATTTTCTGAACAAGATGAAGATTATGGTGGTTAAGGATATTGAAAGAGAAGACATTGAATTCATTTGTAAGGTAAAATGTTAATTCCTATTATATGTAAAACTATTCAAGTGTCCATTAAGCAGATAAATTATTATTTTTTTCTCATTGAGTTTATTGGTACATTTTAGGTACACAGTACAGTTACATTCATTGTTGTAGCTTTTGTTTTATTTTGTTGGTACTGGGGATCGAACTCATGTAGCAGTTAAATTTTAATTTGTGAGTTTATTTTTTCCCAGACAATTGGAACCAAGCCAGTTGCTCATATTGACCAATTCACTGCTGACATGCTAGGTTCTGCTGAGTTAGCTGAGGAGGTTAATTTAAATGGTTCTGGCAAACTGCTGAAGGTAAGAATAGTATGTTTTCTTTCCCTGGGTTTTTGTTTAACCTTTACTTCAGATACCTAATTTAAAATTTGATTATTAAAGATTATCGGCTGTGCAAGCACTGGAAAAACAGTTACAATTGTTGTTCGTGGCTCTAACAAACTGGTGATTGAAGAAGCTGAACGTTCCATTCATGATGCCCTGTGTGTTATTCGCTGCTTAGTGAAGAAGAGGTAATGTAAACTTTAGATTACTAAGTAATATTTTGAACATTAAACCTTAGATATTTTTATTTTGTTTTGTTTTTGTTTTTTAGTATAAAGAATGTTATAGCTTTCTGTTGCATAAAATAACCTAAATAATATTTGTGTATCTTAGAGCTCTTATTGCAGGAGGTGGTGCTCCAGAAATAGAGTTGGCCCTGCGATTGACTGAATATTCAAGAACACTGAGTGGTATGGAGTCCTACTGTGTCCGTGCTTTTGCAGATGCTATGGAAGTCATTCCATCTACACTAGCTGAAAACGCTGGCCTGAATCCCATTTCTACAGTAACAGAACTAAGAAACCGGCATGCTCAAGGAGAAAAAACTACAGGCATTAATGTCCGAAAGGTACTGACTTACGAGAACTGCTCTAGGTTAATGGATGCATTGGAAAATCAAGGTGATGCCTTAGTTGAAAATATTGTTCATTAACTCTGCTATTTAACTTTTAGCAAGTTGTTTACATTCCTCATTCATAAAAAAGATAATTATTAGTTGCCTAAGATCTGTTGTAAGGGCCAAACCCATTACTAATTAACACTGTAAATATTAACCATAGTATCTGTTGTGAGCATGTCCTGGTATAGTCATGTAGGGTAAACACAAAGAACAGTATTAACATTCCCTCATTTGTTTTATTGAGGACAGAATATATGAAGTGGGAAAACTAATAATTCAGGGTGTTAATTTTTTGAATCATATGGAACCCCAAGGATGGCACTACCTATTTAGGGGAAAATATATGAAGATGCAACTTGGTTGGTAGGAGATAAGAAAATTACATATAAGGAGATAGTGATTAAAGTAATGAGGCTAAGGGGTTACTCTACTTGTCTAGACAGGGGCTGTATATTGGTAATGTGGTGGACGTTAAGGATAGATACATAAAAGCTACAATGAGGAGGCCTTTGAGACAGGTAGGTATTTGTTTTTCTACCAGTGGCTGGAGTCCACTAAAGTTTTTTAAGCAAGATCTAAGGCAAGAAAAGTATTTTTAAACATAGAACTGAAGGGGCTGGAATTTAGCTCAGTGATGCCTTGCCTGCCTTGTAAGTGCAAGGTCCTGAGTTAGATCCCAAAACAGAATACCGGAGCCCAGGATACCTATCATAGCCATTAGCAGTGTTCCTAGGGTAAAAAGGACAAAAATATTAGTGCAGTGAAAAATTTAACAGGAAATATGAGAGATGTAAAAGAATAAATGATACTTAGAAGTAAACAACTAAACAAGGGGTTAGGATTAGGAGAATCTAGCATTCAGTTTTTCCAAATTACAGTTGGAATGCAACCTGCAGTATAGAGAAGAACTTAGAATATTTTACCCTAATGTGCCTAGTCGGGGAAACTTAAGCTTCAGAAGATCTTAGGGCATATTGACAAAGTAGTTGCTGATGTGTATTATTACAGACACTAAAAGCCACCTGTGCTGATTTTCAGGGTGGTATTTCGAACATTCTGGAGGAAATGGTTGTCCAGCCTTTGTTGGTTTCAGTCAGTGCTCTGACCCTAGCAACTGAAACTGTCCGGAGCATTTTGAAAATTGATGATGTGGTAAGTATATACAAGTTCCAAATTCCCTACAAGGCCAAACTGCATTTTTCTAAGTTTTTTAATGATGGTGGTGGGGTTTTTCTTTGTTGGTTTTGGTTTTTCCACTACCAGGGATTGAACTCACTCCCTTGTGCTTGCAAGGCAGGTTCAGCATCACTGAGCTAAATCCCCATCTTTGATGGTGGTGTTTTAATAAATATTTGCTAGTCATGAAAATGATAACATCATACTGAGTTATTTATTAAAATGAGGGAAAATTTGGATAATTGCCTTGAACGCTTAATCTTAAGATTCTAAAAAATAAAACCTAAGTTTTTCTCTTTATCAGGTAAACACTCGATAATCTGAATACATTGGCTGGCTGGCTGGCAACATTATACTCCCAGTACTACAACTCAAGTAGAAGATCCCCATGCTATTCCTTGTTGTTCAGGAGATTGTTTGCTCTATGAATCCCTGGACTTGGTCTTCCAGTTGGTATTTGCTTGAAATTGTATTGGAACAACTAAATATTAAATATCTGACTTCAAAAGGTTGTTTGTCCCCCAGTATTGTATTTGTGTTACTTTTGAGACCCTGTGTAAGAAATACTGTGCACAAAGACTGACATGTTGGCTTTTTAGTGGCTTAATCATGTGTCCTTTCTTTATATTGTATTCTGCTAAGTAGAAGAAAAAAAAGGCCCAGTCTACTTACCACTAATAGATGCCTATTAGCATGAAAAAGGATAATATACATACAATTTTAAAAATTAGCAATACAGAAAGATAAAAAGATTAAGAAAAAGCCTTCCCTCTGCCATCATAATTCCTTTCTCTAAGAATAACCACTTATGTTACATGGGATCCTTCTACAAGGACAAAAGTGAATGCTGGGGTAGGGATATAGCTTAGTGATAGTGTTTGCATAACATGCATGAAACTAGATTGAGTCATCAATACTGTACTACTAAAAGTGCCCATACATGTAGCAAATCTTTTTGTACAAAAGGTATTTTTAACCAGTACATTTTATCTCGTCCAGGTGTCAACTCTCACCATAAACAGTGTAAAATAATTCTGCAAGTTGGTTTTTTTTGTTTTGTTTTGTTTTTTTGGTACTGGGGATCAAACTCAGGACCTTGCACTTGTGAGGCAGGCAGCAGAACCACTGAGCTAAATTCCTGGCCCTGCAAGTTTTAGCTAGTGATTTTTTTGAGATTGGTACTGGATCAAACTCAGGACCTTGCACTTGTGAGGCAGGCAGCAGAACCACTGAGCTAAATTCCTGGCCCTGCAAGTTTTAGCTAGTGATTTTTTTGAGACAGGTTCTCACTATGTGGTTCAGTCTGACCTCAAATTCATGATGATCATTTTGCCTCTGCTTCCACCATCATCCCCAAAACTGATCATTTTAAACTTATCAGCCAGTCTCTATAAAAGCTTCTATGTCTTTAGGTAAAAGACTTTAAGGAAGACAACAAGTTGAGTCCTTATTCTTTTTTTGGTTTTTTGGTGGGGGTTGTTGAGAGAAGATCTGAAATTCAGGCTGGCCTTAAAAGAACTGGCAATCTTGCATCAGCCTCCCAAATGCTAGAATTGCAGGTGTATACCACCACTCCCAGCTTCACAACATTTTTTATATCAAGATATACCTAAAGTTCAAGTACTTGTAATTTTTACAGCCCTTTCAAGAGAAATGTTTCCTAATAGTTTTTCCTTAAATTTGCTTTGGTATAAATTAAACCCCTACCTACTTATATATAGGATTTGACTTACGTTTTGTAAAAATTTATGGTATTTAAGCCAGTTCTGTTTTAGGAAATAGAAGAGCAAATGAGAAAGCTTGTCCAAATAGGCAAAGTTTGGTAACATAATTGTTTAGTTACAAGTGAAAAGAGATGTATCTGTTGCTGGAGGTGCAGAGGTATTATGTGCTCATGTATTCCTCACTTGTCAGCTTTTATAAAAATTTTCAAGTATGTAGAAGTTTTAAATAGTATGAACATTGAATGTACCCACTTAGATTCAACAGTTCCTGACATCTTCCCATTCAATTGTGAAGCATATTTATGTTGGGAGTTACTCCAGTATGAGAAAATTGTGCATAGAAATCTGTGCTGGAGTTGCAACTTGGTAAAGCATGCTATTAATGTTTCATATCTAGATGTCCCCCAGAGCTTCATGTGTTCATACACAGAGCTTTTGGAAGAAGACTGGACTATAGAATCTGACAAGTTTGCTGTTGGGAGATGGGGCCTAGCTGGGGGAGGACCGTGGGTATGTATGACCTGAAGGGTGTATCACTCAGCTCCTACTTTCACTCTCTGCTTGTCCTCCATGAAAGTAGCAGCTCTTCCTCTGCCATGCCATCTTGCCCTGAAGCCTGCCAAGCATTGACTGTAAATGGGTCAAAATAAACCTCTTAAATTGTGGGTGTCAGTTGGTATCTCAGCAATGAGAAAGTGACTCATACCAAGCATACAGAAGTACTTGTATTTGATCTCTAGCACTACCACCAAAAGAATTGGAAAATGTGGTTAAGGTCCAGAACAAAAACAAAAGGAACCTAGGGCCAGGGATTTAGCTCTGGTGCCACCGCCTGCCTCACAAATGAAAGATCTCAAGTTCAATCCCCAGTACTTTAAAAAAAAAAAAAAACTAATAAAACCAGTAAGTTTCACACACGTTAAATGGCTAAGAATTACTATATTAAATGTGGCACTTTAGCTTGAAAAATGCCAAAAGCTTGCACTTAGTAGGGTTACTGTGAAGTGATAGAACTATCTGACAGTAACACCAGAGAGGGAAGGATGTGGTTTGGTAATGGTGAATTGATCTGTATATTTTTAAGTTGTATGTTTGTGTTTTATGTGTTTAGGTTTTTGTTTTTTTATGGGGCTCCATTTGATAACTTGTGGTTGAACCTGGTGTTTCACATTGATCTACATACCCCCCCCCTTTTTTTTTTGATACCAGGGATCAAACTCAGGACCTTGCTTTTGGCATCACTGAGCTAAATCCCAGGCCCTCACCTTTTTTTAATTTTTGAGACAAGTTCTCACTACCAGGCTGCACTTGAACTTGCAATACTCTCAAAATACTGGAGTCACAAGTGTGTACCACCACACCTGACTAGGACTTATTTTTATAATTAAGTACAATGCCAGTTTCATGCCTAAGAAATACCTAGTACTCAACTCATATTCAGATTTTCTAACATCCCCCAATGTCTTTCCTGTACAATCTCTGATTTACACATTGCATTTATTCCTTTCTAGTCTCTAATTTGCATTCATACCACTTTGCTTTTTTAATAGTTTTGACTTTGCTGAAGAGTTGCAGGCCTATTTCTGTATGGATTTCCTTATTTCAGTTCTAAATAGGCTTAGATTAAAATTAAACCTCTGCAAGAATATTTAATAGGGTATGCTGTATATGTTGTATCACAGCATAGCTGTGCTAAAAGGGATCTTCAGATAAATCTGCAGGGAGAAATGATTGGCTCTTGTGCAGTTATGAAGGCTGGGAAACCCCAGTTTGCCATTTCTTTTTCTTTATTTTATTTTTTTCTTTTTTTGGGGGGGTACCTGGGATCAAACTCATGTCCTTGCACTTGTGAGGCAGGCAGTGGAACCACTGAGCTAAATCCCTGGCCAACCAGTTTGCCATTTCTGAGCTAAGAAGCCAATGAGGACTGGGAATTTAGAGGGTAGAAGATCTGTATTTTGCCTTACAAGTCCAAAAAAGGAGGCCTTTTGTTCTATTTAGGCTTTTGATGGATTGAATGATGCCCACTGATATTGGAGTGAACTATTAGCCTATCATATCCTCACAGATGCTCTCGGGAATGCTTAGCTGTCAGCTCTTAGCCCAAATAATTTGATAAAAAATTAATCATAAGGCCATTGTTAACTTGACACCCCTATACATCTTAACACAAATTCCCAAGACTGCCATATATGTAATTGAGTGTATACAACTAAAAACACTAAACCATTTCTCAGAAGAATTAAAGCCCTTGACTGATGTTTACTCTGGCTATTTATTAGCTTAGGTTGTATAATGTAAAATTAATATTTAAGTACTATAAGTTAATAGTTGCATAAGGTTATACATGTGTATATAACCTTTTTTTGTTTTTTCTTGCTATTGGGGATCTAACTTAGTACCTTGTGCTAGCGAGTCAGGCAGCAGTGCCACTGAGGTAAATCCCTGGTTAACTATTTCATTAAATGAGAAATTGTTCATGACCATTACAGTCTATATCTGTAACAGTAGTAGCTGGTTATCTGCAACTTCCACTCTCACTTTTTTTCCCCATTTACTAGAGATTAAAACCAGGCCTTAGAAATGAGCTACATCCCCAGACATCCCCTCTTTTTTCTCTTTCTTTTTTTTTTTCCTTTTTCTCTTTTTGGTACCAGGGATCGAACTCAGGACCTTGTGTTTGTGAAGCAGGTGGCAGAACCACTGAGCTAAATCCCTGGCCCGACCTCCCCTCCTTTTAAAAAAATTTTTAATACTAATTTTGTCTCCCTCCCCTTTCTAAAATTTTATTTATTTTTGGTATCAGGAATTGAACTTGGGACCCTGTGCTTGCAAGGCAAGCTGTGGCACCACTGAGCTACATCCCTGGCCCTCCCCTTTTAAATTTTAATTTTGAAACTGGTTATCACTAAATCGCTGAGCTGCACAGGCTGGACTGGACCTTGCAGTTCTTCTGCCTTAGCCTGTCCAAGTGCTAGGTTTACAGGAGTATACTTACTCCACTCTTGTTTTCAACAAGCACCTCGGTTGTGGCTCTGTCTGGTGAGGTAACTCAGATGTTTTTGAAGGATCTGAGCTATTAGTCCTGTTTGGGGTTGTGAGACATCCTAAGGGCTCTGCTGCATTTCATGTCACATTCATCCCAGCTAGAAACAACTTTACCTATTGATTCTAAGGCATGAGGAGTCAAGAGTAGCTGGATCACTTTAACCTTAATGAAATAACTCTGGTGGAAGCATTCTGGAACTAAGACTTCTAGGCCAGCAGAATATAAAGTCATGAGAATAAAATATTGTAGGGGGTCACTGAACATATTAGTGAGTGGTACCACTCCCATCTACATCTTTGCTTCCTAGACCCATGAATCTTGGCTGTCGGAGAAACGACACTATATATTGTGTCTACTGTCTTCTAGAGAACCTCGTCCCAACTCTACAAGGGACTGCCCCTTAGCTAGTACTTTTTGAGTCGTTAAAAAGGCATTCCACTGTTAAACTTTCATTGCTGTGGGGAACATGGTAAGACCAGTGAATTCTCTGGGCCTAGGCCCACTGCCACAGTGAAATCCTTGATGAGAACCAATGCTACAACAGTTTATAAAGCACTGTTTAAGCCAAGTGCTGTGGCACATACATGAAATCCCAGCTATTCTAGAGGCTGAAGCAGGAGGATCATAGGACTGAGCCCACCCTGGACAATTTAGATCTTGTCACAAAAAAAAGGAGATGTAGCTCACTCAGTGGAAGTGTTATTGGGTTCAATCCCAGTACCACAACCAATTGACCAAAAGCACTGAGAATGTAGTAGCTCAAATGATACTGCTTAGCATGTTTGAAACCCTGGGTTCAATACCCAATATCAAAAATTTCAAAGAAAACGTATTTTTTAAATATTAAGTCCATAGATGGTAGTTCTGGCAGAAACAAGACAAGACCAACCCAGAGTCTCATCTCACAAAAGACAAAACTACCTCTCAAGATGGAAGTATAGTGTAATCAATGTACCACCAGGTAGTTGGGACATGTGCCGTTTCAGGAACAGTGTTGGCTTCCACTGCTGGCAGAATGGGAGCTCAGCAGTAGTTGCATCCAGATCAGCATAGGTAAGTGGAAGTCCATTTTCTAAGTCCATGCATAATCTCCATCTCTGCCACCACAACCACTTTGAGTTCACTAGGCAATCAATGACTGGAATGGCTGAGGAAGGAAGCTGTTCTATACAGAATGGGTCATCCTATCCACTTGATTAAAATTCTCAGCTGAGGTCACAGTTTGCTGAGTATTCACATGGAACAAATATCTTAACATTTCTTGCCCAGGGTGCTCACAAACCTCCCCAAATTTCTTTTTCCTGATTTTCCAATT